TTAGAATTATTTCACAATCACATATCCTCATTTTTTAAAAATTGTCATTCCCCCTACCATGTTTCTCTGCAAGAAGCTCAACCAAGAAAACCACTGAGAAAGGGGAAACATTCTCAAATGCATCAAAAAAAATAGCAGAAACACTGAAAACACACTTTCTCCCCAACCTATGATAATCCCAATTATTGGTCAAATGTTGATTCCTCCCACTGATTGTATACCTTTTTGCTCAAAGACATAATCTGATCATAAATCTCACAAATACTGTAAGTGCATACCTGAAAATAAATAAAGGAAAATAAAAACATAAAGAGCTGCTTTAAGTGCAGCCCCCCAACTGCATGACTCCTGCACACACCATTTGCTAAGTAAATGAGGTCTGTTCAATCATGCTATCGGTCTGCTGGCCAACCCTTCCCACCACAAACTTCTTGAACCAAACAGGACAATACCAAACAAATTTAACCGAGGTGTTGGAGATGCTCAGGTTCCTACAGATTCCCGAATAAAGAGCTTGTAGGCTGAAGAAGATGACGATCACCGAGGAGGAGGGCCAGCAGTTATCTCCTCCGCAGGGCTCAGCAGCCAACAGCTCCGGGCTGGCCGCAGTGAGTGCCAGCTCTTCCCTGCTCATCGGCTGCGGTGGCAGCTGATGGCCTGGGTGCACACGTATTTCCACGGGGATGAGGAACCAAGGGCCATGCAAGAGGTGATAGGAGAGACTGAAAGATCTTACTGAGGCAGGAACACAGTTTTTCTATAAATAATGGAACTAAGGAGTTCCGTAACTTGTGTTCGTATTATTCTTTCATACTAAGGTCTCATGAAGGGTTTTTACCCCTTTCTAAATGATTGATCAAAACAAGGTGTTCTCGGAGACCCCAAGGAACACTACGAGCTTCAAAACACTGACCACCTCCATTCTAGCTGATGGAAATTCCCATCTGCATTCACCCAGGTCACCAAACCATATTTCTCCATGGAATGAACTACACTTGTTTTCTGGTCCTGCTGCCGCCTCTTGTCTTGAGGGCAGCCATTACCAGACTGGTTATTTTGCCTCCCCACTTCTCTAGAGATGTTCCTGCTATCGCTCCCAGGTAATTGCTCAGGTTATGGTATGCAAGGGTTTCTCGGGCAGAGGTCTGTGGACTTGTATCAGCATTTTTAACTGTGCCTGCAATGATGGGACTCAACCCAGATACCCTCTTCTACTATTGTGTTCTTACTAAAGATCTATGGGGCTGCCGATGACTGAAGCTTTAACCCTCTCCCTGACTCCATCTGTTGATAACCACTCTCTGAGAGGGATTTTCCCTCTTGATGTGACAATTGTACCCAGGTTCTCACTATGCAACATCAAATCACACAAAGAAATGTCAACACGTACAGCTGAGGAACAGCTTCAAAGCTTAACTAAAGCTCCCCAAAGCTGACAAAAGCAGGTTATTGAGGTGTGAATGCCAGACCCGAAATGCCTCAAAGGTTTGAGATGAGAATGGTGTAAAAACAAACCAACCCAAACAAAGCCAGAGGTCTCATGCCAGGGTTCCATTAGCAAGGCATTATTGTAGAAAGCAGATGCTCACCCAGCCTAAAAAGAAAAGAAACAACGAAGTCCTTAAAGCACCAGCTCTCAAAGAAACTTGCATTCACATGCAGAAAGGAAGCATGGGATGTTTGACATCCTTCACCACCGCGATGCTTTAGTAACACTCTCTCAGAAAGGTTTAATGAGAGCCTAACTGATTGTGCTGTTTTAGTTGTTGACTCTTGTTGAAATGAAGCAGAACGCTTAGAACTTCCCACCTAGGACTTGTCTAATTCCAAATACAATTTAAAACTATGGTATTCCAATTAACAGAAAGACAAGACAGTTTCTTTTTTAAGTCTGAATGCTGGATTAAGTCCCAGAATCCCAGCCCAGCTGCCCATTACACACACACATAATGCCCAATGGCAACGACAGCCATCCGCGATTGCAGCATTGTATAATGGAGTGTCTTATTAGAAAACAAGACACATAACAGAAGAAACACAGTTCAAACTCCATGGCACCACTGAACATCCTCCCCCCTCCCCAAAGAATCAAAGTTTAATCAGCTCAAGCATTACTAAAGGGAGGCTACAGGATGGCTCACTTCAGTTGGACTCTGGTCCTGGGCTTTTTAAGATCCAATACGAAGCAGAGTAAAAGTAACAAAATGAGAAACATCAGCAAGAAAGATGAAGTCGTTCAATACTTCCATGTTTCCAACATCAGCAGTTCTTACAGAAATAAACAGTCAGCCTGTCAAAGGGAGGGACAAAACTTTACCTGACAAGAGACACGCTTAAACTTAACACCGTGAGCTGTCAGTGAGCACGAACCACAATGCACACTTTGCTTTGTTCGCTTTAATAGCTACCTTAGACTAACAACCACAAACGCTTCTGGTGTCTGATAAATTTTGCAGGTAGCCATTTTCTTTAACAAAAATGCTTACTACTTACCCAACTTGCTTTTGTTCTCAAAGAAGAAATGCTTTTCATTTAGAAAGGCAACCATGTGGGTAAGTTCTACAGAAGTTGCACATGAAAATGCATCTGCATTTGAGACTGTGTCAGAGCCAAGAAAGCTTGAATTAATGTAGGTTTGCATTATGAATATTTCACCGCTACACTTACATCTCTGTCAAAAGTAGTTCAAGCACAGCTTTTACACAGAGGAATGTTTCTACCCTGGCTAGAAAACTAGAGCCAGGCTTAAAATACATAGAGATATATATAGGTATTTATAAGGTTGGAAATACAGATGAGTATTTCAGAAGATCCAATCATAAAATGCCTGATTGTAACTTTGGGCACTTAAAGGACATTTAAAAAGTCACATTGGGCTGATTTTTAGTTTCATCTTGCTCATAATAATGCACTATGCATGGTGTTTTTAAAGATGCATTTTACAAACTCCCCACGAATAAGAGATTGTGCTAAAAATTAGTAGTTGGTCTTACTGTAGCATTTCGATAGCTCACCTAGCCACCAGCTAAACATGAACAGCAGAGCAACCAGATTTGAAGACAATAAATCAAAATCTACCATTTCTTCACAGCTGGTGTCAGGCATGTTTAGGAAACAGCAGAACCACCCTTCCCTCCTCACAAATTCCAAAATGATGGATTTTCTAGGAAGTTGTTTAGAGTTCAGTCACGCTCACACTCACGCGCTTTGCCACTCACATTTCCATTGAGCCCTCAGGAAATGACATGAAATTAAGGATCAATGTATGGCAGAACGTCCTTTCACTGCGCAAAATTACCCCCCCTTGGACTGAACAGAACCCTGCAATGCAAGAGAGCTCTCTGCATAGAGCCTGGGCAAAGACAGACTTCATATGGCGTTCATCCGAACCACTAATCATTATCAAAATTACCCAAAAGCTCCTTTACATGACACCACTGAACTTTCTCCAACCCACTGTCTCCCAGGCTGTGCAATTGCAGTGACATCTCCTGGTTGCTTGTGGTTCACTGGAACACATTTTCCCCCCTCAACTATCCAGCATAGCTATGCAGAAATTCTCTCACCATTGAAGAAATGTGTTCGGATAGAGGGGAATCATTTTCCTACTAATAAAGAAGAAAGAATAATGGGATATATTCCAAGTTTTTCTTGTGATGACCAACAATAAATCATTTCTGAGCTCATGTCACATCTTCCATGGGAAGATAAATGTCTTGCCGTCATTAACTTCTTTTCAGCTAGCAATAATATATGATCAGTTTTTAAGTAATTGAACCAGTAGCATTTAATTAGCTCTGAAAAACTATCTCAGATCATGAATCACAGACTCTCCACCTGTATGAGGTCCCCTTACTAGGTTAAAAGTATATTTCTCTTTCCATTTGTAATCCATCTTGAATATCTAATGAGGTGCTCTTGATATATGGATTATAGTTCATATATCACACACAAAACACAGCAGACACACAGTCTCTTTCTTTATATAATTGAGTTTCATGTCTTGCTTCACTGAGTTGTTAAAAAAAAGGACAAAAAAGCTTCTTGTGTGCCTGACAGAATGGCCACTACTTGCTTCAGTTTTACAAATTCCGGTTTCTCCAGAGAGTCAGCATTAAGGATGAGTAACTTAGACATCTAGCTGGGGAAATGAAGTAACAAAAAGAAATATTTCTTGTTGAAAGGCAGGATACAGAGAACTGCTATGACTTTAGGCAAGACCACACTGACATTTTTCAATAGGCCCAGAGCACTGACTCACCAAAGAGCATGACATTCCCATCCTAACATTACTTCAGATGGCTTCATTGCACGCTAAACAGAAACAGTCAGTGCAGTCAACTAATATTTGGGGACATCTGTGGCCAGCACAAAACAGGATTACTTCTTATATCAGATTGTATTAAGCATCATTTTTACATTAAATTCACTAAACCACAATAATTAACTACAAAAAAAATCAGTTTTTATTCAGCTTTCAAATATGTTTCTGAAGCTGTTATTATGCTTTTATGACAAGACCTATATAAGATTGGATTTTTTTTTTTTGCTGAGAAAGAGGCAAGATTAGTAAACTTCTTTTGGAAGACAGAAATTAAGACTCACAATCTGCTCCAGTGTCAAATTGTAGATGTTGCCAAATATTTGGCTTGCTCTATTAAAAAAAAAACTTTCACTACAAAACCCTCTATTTTTAAATAAGCTTCATAAAAAATAAAATTCAATAAAATGGATTTTATCTCTGTTATTTTCCCATCTTATTTTTAGCACAGTAAAAATAAACATGCATGTTTCTGCTGACTTTTTTCAATTTGAAGACAGCAAAGATTTTCACTTTCATAATAAAAAAAAAAGCAGTGAAAGCTGAACTGCCTTACTGGATTGGACAAAGCTTGTCTTTACTCCAAATGCTTCTTTCAGATGTTAGCACAAATTGTAAATAATGTTGCTCTCGATTGCATGTTACACTTGATCTAGTTATGCACAACATTTAAGAAGATTGGTGGGATTAGTGCCCCACACATTAAAACTGTTGAGAGAGTAAAGGATGTATAACATCCATTATACACACATCCACTTTGAAAAATGTTTGTCATGTGGATGGTAGAAATTCCAGTGAGAACAGACTCAGATTTACAAATCTATCCTTTACATTAAACAGCAAAAACTCCAAGCAATCTCCAGTTCATGGTACTATATTTGGTAGATAAAATTTCTATTAGCTCCAGTTGTGCAGTTGACATTAATCTTGAGGTTTTAAGAACTTTTTCTTAGCTTTTTTGCTAGGTCTTGTGTTACTACTCCCATCTTCATCTTCAGCTTGAAGTACACGCTGGTCTCTTTTTCTCAAGAATTTCTTCCCTATTGTTCCCACTAATGTTTCATATCTGTAAAGATAACAAAAAATTTACTGCTTTTACTAAAATCAGAGAAAATTTCAATGGAGCAAATCATAAATCTAATCAACAATTTAAGTGGTGTAAAAAAGCTGGTTATCAGAAGTTTAAGAAGCATTAGTAGTACATCATCACTTGTTAATTATTCATTGTGATAGTTTGGGCTTGTTAGCAACCTGGAACAAGGAGGGAATTACCATGGAATACCTGGATATCAAAGGGCAGAAACCCCTACAAGATATTTTACCCCCCAAAGTGATGGAAATTCCACTGAATACACTCCAGAATTCCTGGAAAAATCAGTTCTGTAAAGTACTGTATCTGTTGGGTTTTGTTTTGTTTTATTTTGTTTGTTTGCTTTCTGGGTTCATTTTCCCACACATAATGCTGTAACTTATCATACTGCTAAGTAATATTGATTATGTCATAAAATATAACTTACCTTCTGGCCATTTCTTCATCTGACACATCAGCCTCCATTTTATCATCCATTTCAATTTCTTCTTGCTTGCATCTAGAGTTCATTTGGATCATTAACTTCTGAAAATGAAGTAAGAAATAGCTTAAACATGTAACCCTGACACAATGGCAACTAAGCTGAAATTCACTGGTAGTAGAAATGCATAAAAGGTAAGAATCAAATGTAATAATTATTTGCTGTTACTGGTCAGATAGAGCACACTGTTACCAAAACTCATGTGGAAAAGGCAACACACCTGCCTGTTGCTAAGCTGAGCTTAGAGTTTGCCTTCGGGAAAAGAGACAACACAGAGACATGGTTTTCAGTGAATTGTACTACTCAAACATCCTCAAGGACACGTCAGACATCTTCAGGAGACCAGAGAATTAGATCATAATTAATTTTTCATTGTGATGATAGCACATAGTCCTTGAAATGGTTTTGTTAAGAAGGAAAAATATCTGCAAGGATTTACAGTAAAAACCATGCAGCAATAATGTGCCAAGTCACAGGGACAGCAAGTCCAAAATAACTAAAAGAATCCCCTAGTAAATCACCGTGCATGGCCTTTTGCATACCTCTTAGTTTTTACACCTTCATCCTCTTGCTTCAGTTCAGCGGTAACATTTTTATTACTATCTCAGTGTAGTTCTATCAGCATGAATCATGCCAGAGAGAAATGAAAGATTCTCTCGCCCAGAATTTTTACTTTGGAACTTTAAGCCCTTACTTACATAAGTAAGGATGAATAAATAGAGTTGAACGTTTGTAGATTGGACTCTGATTAAATGGCAGGAGGACAAGTGAGCTATTGTTTCAGTGAGCAGCATGTGGGTCAGTTTCCTCACTTCAGGGAGGGAAAATCTGCAGGAGTCATGCAATTACTGACCATCAACACAAGGAGATAAAAAGCTTCTATTTACCAGATGCTGCATTGATCAACATTTTGGTTTGAATCACGGAGTTCCCGTGTGTGGGAGGATTTATGGAAGGTGCTGCAAAGGCCAAACAGCATGCAGTGCGAACACTCAAATCCCCATCCCCAAAGGCTTCAATCTTAATGCGACACCACCTCAAAACAGAACACTTAAACGGTACCTCAATTTCTGGATTGAATCCTTTGAAGGACATTCTGCCATAAAGTAGATCCTCACATGGCATAAAGCTCCTCTCTTCTATTATAAAGCTCCTGCATGAAACCCCAAACCCAGTATTTTGTCAAATGGTGCGCTTTAAAATAATCAAATTAGACAAATGCAAAAAGCATCTGCTGCCTTCCCCCCGCATATAAACAAAACCACAGTGTATTTTAGACCATCAACTACTTTCTGAAGCTTAAGTGCTCTGACACATCTTTTAATACAAGGAGCTTGGAGTGCAAAGGAATACTTTTTGCCAGTAAAGCTGTGCCAGTTCCACAAGCAAAATTAACTCTCCCGACAAAAAGCACTCTTTGCTGGTATGATTCCACCTACATTAATGCTTTTGCCAGAATAAAAATACCACATAAATATCACTCTCCAGGTGGCATTACTATACCAGCAAAAGCTTCTAATTAATTTTTCATTGTGATGTTAGACTTGGCATTAGTTGAGTCTGTCAGGATATAAAACACTGTGTAATTCTCTGTTCAGCAGAGAAAGATTTCCCCTTTCTCCCTCCTTTTTTCCTCTTTTAATGAGCATGGAGCGAGAAAAGAAACATGACCCTGAGGCATTCATAATACATGCATTAGATAAAAGTCCTTCCATGAATTGTTCCATCCCTCTTTTCCTCACACACATATGCACCTCTTCCCCCATCCTCTTTATCTCCCATGTAAAACAAACTCCTACGATCATAGGAAGTCAGGCTGAAGAGATCAAGTTCCTTCTTCTAACTCAAGGTAGAATCAGATAACATGTTCCATGAACAGCAGAGGTCCATCTAACCTGCCCTCAAAAGACTTCCAGTGATGGAGAATCCAGTGTCTCCTCATGCAATCTATTGCAGTGCTTCAGTAGCTTTACTGTTAGAAAAATTCTCCCAATGTCCAGCTTGAACCTTCCTTACTGCAACTGAAGCTCAAATACCTTTTTGTCATATCCACCACCAGTAATGGAAAATAGTTTATCAATGACCTTATTCAACTACAGTTAACTCCACAGATCCCAGTTTTTAAAAAATGATGTATGTTCTCCCTCAATGGAATTTTTGTCCTCTTCTGAAAGGACAAAAATCAAGCAATTTTAAAAGTAGTTCTCTTGCTATTTAAACCACTTTCTTCAGGAATGGACATTTTCTTCCTTGCTAGCTAAGCTTTCCTTTATTTTTGCCATTATTTCTCCTATTTCAAAAACAGGATTTGAAGTAAGCTGGACTCAAGAAGACAGAACGGTCCCGAATGGACCTAACCGTGTGACTGGAGCTGAATTTACCAACACAAGGTTTCAGACTTCTTTTTTCAATCAAAGGGAAAAAGCACCAATGAATGAATTGGTCCCTGACAGAAAGAAACTAATTACATGCATCTAGAAGAATGCATGAGTGAAAGAAAACAACACACACAAGAAATGGAAGTAGGTCAAACTGGACTAGGCAACCTTGAGAACGTCCTTGAAAACAAGTAATAAAAAAAAGCTGTAATGCCAATCAGTCGCTATTCTTGCTTTGGTTAACTGGTTATTAATAATACTTCTTTTATAGGGAAAAAAACTTATATTCTATTCCCACTCCACAACAATCCAATGATGATAACAAGTACAAAAGGGTACAAGCTTACTCTTTCTCCTTTAGATCTGGTAAATCAAGATACCAGTGTTCTTCACTAATTATCTTCTTTTCTTCCTCTTCTAGTTGTTTTTTAGTTTGTGCATCCAAACCTCTTTGCATGAACTACAGAGAAAGACACATAAACACACAGCTTCAGTTTTTTGCATCGTGAGTATGTTCAGAACATGCAGTAATTACACGATGACAATTATCCATTACATGATATTTAGCAGTTGACAAAACGTAAATGCTTTTAGTGATTTTTCTCTGGGTTTGGTCTAAGTTTGGGCAAACAGGCAATGGAAAAGTAAACAACTGCTGATCATAGCTATGTACTGGAAGTCAACAGTCAGCCACATCTGTACTTGCATGCAAAAACCCAGACCTTTCCTGGTTAGTTTTGATGGATCTCAGTTGTTGTAACTCCGTAACTTTGCTAAGATTTCTCTAATGTTTCAACAAAGGCCAGAGAGAACGTAATGGCATTAAAGTTACTGCTGCATATCAGAAATCAACACCACCCATACAAACAGCATTGCAGCTCAGAGCTAGAGGTAGCTCATACCAGGTTGGGCATTTTTTGAAACATCTATACTTTCAACCATCCTCTTCTTTTCTCACATTTAATTTAATGAACTGGCTTGTGTTTGTAGCTCTGAAGGCTAGAACCTGCCTTTGAAAGCAGAAAAAAGTAACTGAGGCTATGAAGAGAAGTCTTCTGTATCCAGCTGTGCTAAAGGAAGATGTTACCAGCTCTTAACTTCTCATTGATGACCCACCAAAGTACCAGTCAAACAGTATGTGTGAGCACCTGTTTACTCACTGCAGCAACAGTCTGCCAAATTAGTTGAGACCAATAATTTAGCTTAGGGTAAGACTGCTATTTTTGCTTAATGCAAGGACATTCCTGTAAATTGCTTCCTCGGTGATAACCTTTGGCAGATGCGAACCGGCAGATAGGAACAGTAACCTCTCTCACAGCTGGGAGTAAAAGAGGACATGTCATAGCCTATGAAAAATTGCTGAGAGCACAATACTACAGACCATTTGTCTCAAGTCAGGTGCCTGAACTGCGTGACAATTTAACTATCAACAACGTTAACCAAACATGCTGGAAAAACAGAACTCTTCACAATTTTACGGTAGTAATCCTTACATTCTCACATCCCTAGAAGATCTGGGACCTCCCTGAGGGTCTGCAGAAAGTGTGTGAATAACTGTATCTGTCAGAGGTGTACATTTATACCAATGTAATTCCCAGCTAGAGGCAAGTCTACCAGTACAGTTTACACACATTCCCGTACAAAAATTGTGTTGTGGCTATCAAAGCATAGTATGTGCAACATCGCAGAGGAATTTTATATCAACTAATTTTACCCCTCTCATTTAGAGCAGCATGATTTTTATGTTTAGATGAGCCTGCAGGCTTACAGGTAACATGCCAGTGGGGAACACTAGACTTGGACATAGTTTAGTTCCCAGCTAAAATGGGCTTGGCCGGGGATAAAGCCCAAGAAGGCATCACAAAACACTTCTCTCCCAGAAAAACCCTGCATTACTGAGCTTATTTAAAATATATAGGTAATATAGATGTGTAATATATGCACTATATACACCCCCCACACCTTTTCAGTCTTTACAAAATGCCGAAGCAGACCACACCAATCTCTGAAATAAAAGCCAATATAGGGCTACTGTCTCATTTTCCATTTATATTTCTATTTGCATTCATTGTACAAGATCTTTAATGAAAGAAAAATTGACTTTTGCTTTCTGAGTTGATCCAAAATATGTCAAAGCTTTCCAATTAAAATTGCAGTATCTTCTTGAGGAAAATAAGTGAATCTATCATGTGGAAAAACATATTGCTCAAGGAAATTGGTTAGCCAGTCAGAAATCTCTATTCTGCTACAAGTACCCAATTAAATGCTCACTTCACATTACATTTTAAAGGTTGTGTTCCTAAAGATTACTACAGGAATAACTAGATAAAAAATGTGTGATCATATTTATCTAAAATGTAAACACACATGGATGAATTAAAAATATACCCATTGTGGTAGACACAGAGTATGTAAGTCAGTAACTGAGTGGTTATTTGGATTAGTTTCCCCAAGCAATGGGATCTGGATCAAATGGTGTAAGATCTAAAAGCATGAGCCATCCTTTGACATCAAGCGGTGAGCACACGGGGCCCAGTACTTAGTGCAAATGGTCTTCACAAGGCTACCACTGACCACATGTCACCTTTGGGTGCCACTTCACCCACCTGCTGAATTGTGATAATGCATCTTATCAGTACCTGCAGAGGCAGCTGCTAAAGGATTAATTAAAACATTTGTAAACAAGAAGCTCTGCAGAAGGAAAGTGCTAAATACAAGATCTGTGTATGACCTTTTCAAACCTACTCATCTCTTCAAAGCTGGTTACTACTGCCCAGACTGTAAACCTGCAAATGTCACGGCAGCACATTCACAGACTGGTTCTCCACAGCCTTCCAAGGAAGAAAATCTAAAAACTGGCTTTTGAAATCTCCAGGGGGTTAATAAACTGGCAAAAAACAGGAGCAGAAATTTCACTTTAAAAGAAAATATTACATAAAAATAATGATGCTGCAATCCAGGTTATGGGAGTCTTACTCTGCCATACACTGCTGGCTAACTAAGCTCAACGCCTACTCCCTTTTGAGACCAAGGCAAGATGTGTTCTGTTCCCCCTGTGCACGAGTTTCAGTCTTTCATTAGCAGCATCTGTTAATTGGGTTAAATATTCCACCATCTTACTGCAGCAGAGTATACTTTACGTGAAAAACTGGAACTGAAGTCAGCTAAACTCCTTTCCGCCAGCGTCTGAAATATAGTCCCATATAAATATGTGGGGGGAAAATGGTTAAATAAAAGACCACAAGCAAGAAGCCACAAAGGCCCCATCATATTCTGTTATAAAAATTTAATGGGTATTAACATCAAAAAAAAAAAAATTAATGGCAACTCAACTTTTACTGGTTGTTTTCCAGCAATAAAGAACCATCAATCATAGGAGAATGTGCTCTACTGAATTAGGTGTTGTAGTACATGATGTGAAGCAGAATCCATTAGCCAGTGAGAAAAGACTAATTTCACATTGATCTTGACACGAGATCCACAATTCCAACGGTACCAGGCACGTCACAATGTTACTAACAGCCCTTGCATTTATGAGCTGGGTAAGGCAGTTAACACTGCCATTCAGGTTGGGTATTTTATTAGCTATCAATGTAAACAGACCAAAAAAAAATGGACACAACAAAAAGAGGGCCTTTTTTTTTTTTTTCAATATTAAAAGCCCCCCCCAAGTAAGGCAAGCGACATTAATATTTTAATTTCAAAACGTGTGTGTGTGTGGTGGGGGAAGAAGTCTTCTCATCTTTATTCACGATAAGCAACCTAACTGCAGAGAAGCCAGGTGGAACGGGAGGACTCTCAAATGGTGCCCTAAAGCTGGCTCTTGCTAGGGTGAGACTTTTGCTGCAGCCACTACATTGCTTCCCTGGATCAAACCCCCCAGCTCCCTACAGTTTATAACCCCCCGGAGACCTCTCGCCAGCCGCAGGCCTGAGTGAAAGGGCAAGCGAAGCTGAAAATAAATAGATATATATTTTAAAACCTGCGTTACGGGAGGTGGGAGACAGTCAGTCCCGCGTGTCTGAGCGGGACTGATGCTCCGTGGCCAGGTGTACACACGGAAAATGCCCCAAACGGGGCAAGGGGCTCCCGAGATGGCCCGGTTTATCCGGGAGACCACTCCCCTC